GAGAAGAAGGACGAGGACGAAGAGGAGGAGGAGGAGGAGGAGGAGGAGGAGGAACACCGACCAAACTGGCAGGTCTGCGAACGTGCCGCCATGGAACGGCACCTCGGGTGAGTCGTGACTAAGCCGAGGAACTGCCAGTGGGGGACACCCACTGCCTTACGGCGCACCCCAACTCACACCCTGCTGTGGCGGAGGAGGAGGAGGAGGAGGAGGAGGAAAACACGAAGCCTATGAGGGAAACGAGGAGGAGAAGGAGGACACAAGCCCAAGAGGGAAACTAGGAGAAGGAGACTGAGGAGAAGGAGGAGGAGGAGGAGGAGGAGACGGAGGAGGAGGTGGGAGGAGGAGAGGGATGAGGAGGAGGAGGAGGAGGTGGGAGGAGGAGGACGAGGATAAGGAGGTGGGCGGGGCAGGCCCACACGCTGGCGCGCGGCCAAGTTGGGCCATCTGGCGGCGACCGAGGAGCTCACGAGCAGGTAGACGGTCAGGGAGCTCCAGCTCCCGCGCAGCCAGGAGGCGTGGTAGCGCTCCAAGAGCTCCGTGGTGGCGTCACCTCCGGAGAGCCCACTGGCGGCTTGAATCCGCTCCGTCGCGCAATGTTCCACCATCCCGGCCGCCGGGAGCCTCTTTCCGGCCCCGGGGCAATCAGAAACGGATCCGGGACGGGGAACTACCCCCTGGGGACCGGGTCGAAACCACATTTGGGGCCCGCGGATCCAGAATAACAGTAAAATTAGCCTGGCGAAGGACCCAACTATATGCAGTTGTGAATACCGCAATTGTGAATCTCTTCTTCGGTGGCGCTCCCTATGGGGCCGCGAACCCTGTGAGGGGTGTGCCGAAATTGGTGCGGTGGATGCATGCGGACGGTGGCACTGGGGCCTTCGTTGGAGCTCCCTATGGGGCCACGAAACGTGTGATGGGTGCGCCGAAGTGGGTGTAGGGAACGCATGCGGGCGGTGGCACCGGGGCCTTCGGTGGAGCTCCCTGTGGGGCCACGAAGCGCGTGAGGGGTGTGCCGGAATGGGCGCGGCGGACGCATGCGGGCGGTGGCACTGGGGCCTTCGGTGGAGCTCCCTCAGGGGCCACAAACCGTGGGGATTGTGCCAAATTGAGTTCTCGGGACGCATGCGGGCGGTGGCACTGGGGCCTTCGGTGGAGCTCCCCATGGGGCCACGAAACGTGTGAAGTGTGTGCCAAATTAAACTTTCGGGAAGCATGCGGGCGGTGGCACTGGGGCCTTCGGTGGAGCTCCCTAAGGGGACACGAAACGTGTGAGGAGTGTGCCAATTGAGTTCTCGGGACGCATGCGGGCGGTGGCACTGGGGCCTTCGGTGGAGCTCCCTATGGGGCCACGAAACGTGTCATGGGTGTGCCAATTTGACTTTTCGGGAAGCATGCGGGCGGTGGCACTGGGGCCTTCGGTGGAGCTCCGTCAGGGGCTACGAAACGTGTCAAGGGTGTGCCACATTGAATTTTCGGGAAGCATGCTGGCGGTGGCACTGGGGCCCTCGGAGGAGCTCCCTAAGGGGCCACGAACCGTGCGAAGGGTGTGCCAATTTGACTTTTCGGGACGCATGCGGGCGGTGGCACTGGGGCGTTCGGTGGAGCTCCCTATGGGGCCACGAACCGTGTGACGAGTGTGCCAGATTGAGTTCTCGGGACGCATGCGGGCGGTGGCACTGGGGCCTTCGGTGGAGCTCCCTATGGGGCAATGAAACGTATGAGGGGTGTGCCACATTGAATTTTCGGAACGCATGCGGGCGGTGGCACTGGATCCTTCGGAGCTCCCTCAGGGGCCACGAACCGTGTGACGAGTGTGCCAGATTGAGTTCTCGGGACGCCTGCGGGCGGTGGCACTGGGGCCTTCGGTGGAGCTCCCCATGGGGCCACGAAACGTGTAAGGGGTGTACCAAATTGAATTTTCGGGACGCCTGCGGGCAGTGGCACTGGGGCCTTCGGTGGAGCTCCCTACGGGGCCACGAAACGCTGCACTGGGTGGGTGAAACGCAGGGAGGAAGGAGTAGGGGGAGGAGGAGGGAGGAGGGAGGAAGGAGGAGGAGGAGAACGCGGGGACCGTCTCTTCAAAACGAGGTGTCAACACCACAGGATGGTCTTCTCCACGCGAAGCGACTACGTATAACAACGTCTGGATCTGCGTGACTAGCGCCTCCGCTGCACCTCGCAGGAGCCCACGGAAGTGGCGGCCGTGCCGCTGGCGCTGGCGGAGACCACGGGAGGCCTCGGACCCACGGCCCGATCCGACGGCCAGGCCACAGGAGGCCACACGAGCCCACACAAACACCTCGCGGCCACGGCCCCACACGAAGGCCAGGGCCTGCCCCGCACTCGAAGCCTCCCGCATGGGGTTCCAGCCAAGGGGGTCGGAGGGCCGCGCCGCACATCGCCGATGCCTCGCCGACGCATCGGCGATGTCGGCGATGCATCCGCGCCGATGGCGCGGAGAAGCTCGTGCCCCACATCGACCCCGCCTGGGAGGCCTGGGCCCACGGCGCAGGCAACAGCCGCTGGGTGCGAGCGCCCTTCTCGGAGCCACACCTCGGTGCCCAGGAGGCCACGCCGACGCGCGTTCTCCGGGCGCACCCTCGGGCGGCTCCTCCGCCAGCGCAGAGCCCCCTCCCCGCACTTCTGGGCCCTACGCGCTCCGCGGAGAAGCCATCCGCGGACGTCCTAAAGTCTGTGTAGGCTCGTGAGGGCGAGGAGAGGAAGGAGGAGGAGGAGGAGGAGGAGGAGGAGGAGGAGGAGCACCAGCAGCAGCAGGAGGAAGAGGAGGAGGAGGCGAGGAGGATGACGAGGGGGAGGAGGAGGACCAGTGCAAGCACACAAGCCTCGTCGACGATGCTGAAGTAAGCCCTCCCTCCAAGCTCCCTCTTCATACGCATAGGCCCCTACAGGGATTCATTTCCTCTGAAGAAATGCTCCGTTGGAAGACAACCATGTCAAGATCCTGAACCGCGCCAGACAGCTCCATTCTTGGGACTTCAATAGCACGAATCAACCTTACTGTTGCGTCTTGACGATCCTAGATCGTGCCAGACCACCAATCCTGGGACTTCAACACAGCGAATCAACGTAACTGTTGCGGCCTGACATTCCGACATCGTGCCTGAACATCATTTCTGGAGCGTTAGCCACGCGAATCCTCAAATATCTTGCACATGTTGACAGCGAATGCGCGCGGCGCTAAGGCGAGAACCACACTTTAAAAGATCCGCCCTCCATCCTTGGAGCTCTTGAAGCTGTGTGAGACGAATGTGTGCGGCGCTAAGGCGAGAGCCACACTTTGAAAACGGGCCGCCCTCAATCCGTGAAGCCCTTGCAATCGTAGTACAGTGCGGGCGCGGCCGCAAGAAACCCTCGCACGAAACCCAGCCCTGGAGCCCGGAGGCGCGAGATGCGAGTGGGGGGAACCAGGAGCACCCTGAACGCAGCAGCTTCTTCTACGGCGGCGGGAAGTCACCGCGCAGCGCGCGGAGCGAAGAAGCCCGGGATGCCCTGACGAACAGCGTATGGCTTCTTTGTGCGCGCCCCCACTGTAACCAGATGTGCGCGGCGCCGGGGAGAGCTACGCTCTGAACGGAGGAGGGGGGCCAGCGTCGGATGGGCTCGGTTCCTCCCGAGCTCGGCGCCCCGCCCGCTGGCGGGATGGGGCAGAGGCCCGGGGGCCCGCGGCGACCTCTTGGAAGATCCGCGGCCGCCTGGGCCGCCCTACCAAGGGGCCCAGGGAGACACAAGTAAATACGCACAAATCCCGTTATTCCCCAATTTTCCCATGTTTCCTGGGTTTTTGACTTCCCCCCCACCTCCCATATTTCCCTACATTTTCCTGGGAATCGACGATTAACTGTGTCTGTGTGTTTTTCCCCTCCTGACCCTAGCACACTCAAAGCATTGATTATCCGAGATAACCCCTCCTGGGCCCCTCTTTCTAAGCACGTGCGGGTGACGGTGCATACGATAGCGCATCACCATCTTTCGAGCCGCGTAGGGACACCCTGTGAAAGGAGGAGGAGGAGGAGGAGGACGACGACGACGACGACGACGAGGACGACGAGGACAAAGAGGAGCCGGGGCCACTTGCACCAAGGTCTGGATCGAGGTGGGCCCTGCGGAGGCTCGGAGGTGGTGCCACCTTCCGCCTCTCCCCCTGGCATCACCGCCGCCGCCAGCGCTGCCCGACGAGTTGGCCGCGATGACGACAGGCCCTCGGGCGCCGCCCGAATGTGTCCACATCCACTGCCGGGGGGTCGTGTCCCCAGGGACTTGGGGAGCGGTGCATGTGGCTACCCTGAGATCCTGACGGCTCCATTTCTTCGAGACCGGCGTTTTCGCCTCTTTTCGGGCCCTGGGGCCCTCACCGATCGATCCGGCCCGAGAGATGACGCAGCAAGATGGGATCTAGGGCTCCAGGCGTCATCTTTTACGATGCTGCGTTTTTCTTTCGCTACGTCGGGTCTCAGGGTATGTGCCAGCCCAGGAGGGCGTGCATGTGTCCATAGATCCACCACTCCTCGAGTCCCCTGCGGCACGACTCTGGAGCGGCGGAGGCGGACATGTTCTGGCGGTGGACCTCGAGACCTCGACACCTCTGGCCTGCGTGTCGGGGAAGTCCTCGAGACCTCCAGGGTGCTGGAGGCCAGGGTCGTCGAGGTCGAGGTCGAGGTCGCGGCCGCGAGCCTGGCCGCTGGAAGAACGGTGCGGACTCCCTCCATCATCCCGTCGATGGTGGCACGGACGTCCCGGGCGTAGCCCCAGATCTGCGTTCCCATCTCCTTTGGGCGGCGAGCCCTGGGGGGAAGTGGGAAGGAGAAGGCCTTCTCAGAAGGCTCGGCAGTCCCACCTGGCCTTCTGAGAGGTCTTCTGTGCCTTCCCCGAAGACAGAGAAGACCTCTCGGAAGGCTGGAGGGCTTCTGAGAAGCCCCGCCGCCCCCTGAGCAGACCTCCTCCTTCTCACGACCCCCCATCGCTCGCCGCCGAGCCTTCATCGCACAGATCGACGCATTGTCGATGCGACTCAGGATGCCGGGGGCCTCGTGCACCTCGCCGCGGGGGCGCCCGCCGAGGGCACTCCGCGCGCCGCCTCCCCTGGCCAGGCCGAGCATCCCGGGCCCAGGAGAGGGGGGGGCCCGGCCGGGACCGGCGCCGGGGCACCCGACGACACGTCTCGCCCGCAAGCCGCGGGGGCCCCAGAGGCCTCGCCCCCTGCACTGCGTCGGACGCTGCGCGAGCTCCAGTCGGTGTGCTTCAGCGTTTGGTGGAGGGAGGCTTTCTTCCAACATGGTTGATGACTCTTGGGTTTACACTGAAGGAAGGACGGCAGAAAATAAACAAAAAAAATGACGTCAAGAGGCCGACGCAGGCCTGAAGGCCGACCAAAAGCGAGCTGGGCAGGCGGAGCGGATCTCCGGAACGGAAGGGCAGAGGAGGCAGAGGCGAAGACGCCAGCCCGAACGGGCACAGAGTATATGCCTGCCAGACAGTACAGCGGAGGCTCGTCCTCCTCCTCCTCCTCCTCCTCCTCCTCCTCCTCCTCCTCCTCTGGATCTCCCTCTGCCCTCGGGTCGGACGAGCGAGGAGAACACTTATCGTGCTGTGAGGAAGGGGTTGGGAGGATGCAGGGTATGAGTAATACAGTGGAGGCCAGCCCACAAGAAACCTTCCACGAGAAGCCCAACCCTGAGACCCCAGGACGTCCCTGGATTTTTGGTGTGGGAACGCCACGCTTTCCATGGCAAGTCCATGGAAACCCAAGAAACCCAGGGCACCCTGGAGGCAACCAGTGTGTTTCTTGGCATGGGCCCCCACTGTAAGGTGGAGAAGGGAAAGATCATCCAGGACCCCTGCCCTGGGGCCCGCTTCTCTTTCCGGATCCGCTTCTGGTGGCCCAGGGGCTCCAGCAAGGCCCCGGAGGCCGAGGCTGGGGGGGAACACAAACCGCTGGCGGGGCAAGCTTTCTTGGAAGAAGCAGAAGCGGTATCAACCCACACTTTCGACGATTCTCCTTCTTTAAGCATGGCGGGCTGCCCCGATGCGCAGCAAGCAACCTATGGCGTGTTGACAAGGAACTCAATACGTAGACTGAAAAAGCAGGTCTGGAGTGATACGTTCGCCAAAGCGTGCCCCAACACGTGCCGAGCCCAGCGTGTCAACACGGACGCTTCGAGCGTGCTGCGCTGCATGCCGCAGGCGTCAGGGCAGCCAAGTTCCTGGAGCCCCCGACCTTGTCCTCCCACAGGCGCACCGCCCAGCCTTCCAGGCCGTCCAGGCCTGAGGGGCAACGATATGGGGGGGGGACTGGCAGATGGGGGGGAGGGGGGGGGGGGGGGAAATCGACCTGGAATCGGCGATGCATCGCCGATAGATCGGCGACAGGCCCCCCACAGGGAATCCACGAGGTCCTGGGCGTGGTGGGGCTATCAGACCCCCGTCGGCAATCCGTGAGCGATTGGGGGTCGAGGCATGCCCCCCGTGCGCCTAACTTTGCGCTTCGCGAAGCGCGACAAGCGAGAGCGCGAATCACTTCGCGCCCTCGCGCCGCCCCCAGGGGAGGAAGGGGAGGATGAGGAGGAATCGGAGCCGAACCGCGAAGCGCGGGGCGCGAATCACTTCGCGCCGTCGAGGGGCGCCCGTGTGTCCCCCCCTGTCGTTGCCCCCCTGAAGGCCGTACGGGGCCACGAAGTCGTCGTCGATGAGCACGGGCACCGCCCCCGCGGCGAGCACCTGTGCCCGAGGGGGCTGCGCGGGGGAGGGGCAGCTCGGGAAGGGCACAAGTATACAGGGGCCCAAGGACACACACACAAACACAAACACAAACACAAACACACACACACACACACACACACGAGAAGAGGAAGAAGAAGAAGACGACGACGACGACAAAAATCCCAGGGTGCCACATATGTCCCAACATGTTCTAGGGCTTCGTCTTCCCCCCCCACACACACACGCACACACACACACACACACACACTTCCCATGTGTTCCCGTGCCTTCCTGGAAATCGGTGATGAATTGTATCTCTGCGTGCTTTTTCACCTCCTGGACGAGGCCATGCTCCGCGAGCGACGAGCCACGGGAACCACGGTGGGGCCACGGCAGAGCTGCGACCTCAGTGGGGGACCACCCCTGCGGCGAGCATCTGCGCAGGAGGGGGAGGAGGTGGAGAAGGAGGAGGAGGAGGAAGAGGAGGAGGAGGAGGAGGAGGAGGAGGAGGGAGGAGGACGAGGAGGAGGGAGGGGCACGAGGCCGTGCTCGGTGAGCGACGATGCCACGGGGGCCACGGTGGGGCCACGGCAGAGCTGCGACCTCAGTAGGGGACCGCCCCCGCGGCGAGTACCTGTGCCCGAGGGGGCTGCGCGGGGGGGGGGGGAGAGGCAGCTCGGAGAAGGAGGATGGGGAGGAGGTGGGAGGAAGGATGAGGAGGAGGAGAGGAGAGGAGGAGGAGGAGGAGGGGAGGAGGAGGAAGAGGAGGAGGAGGAGGAGGCAGGAGGAGGGAAGGGAAGGGAGGGGGAGTAGGAGGGGAAGGGAGGAGGGAGGAGGAGTAGGAGGAGGAGGAGGAGGAGAGGAGGGCGGAGGAGGAGGAGGAGCAGGAGGAGGAGCAGGAGGAGGAGGAGGAGAAGGAGGAGCGGAGGAGCAGGAGAGGAGACGGAGGAGGAGGAAGGAGACGAGAGGAGGAGGACGAAGAGAGGAGGATGATGGGGGGGGAGCGGCTGCCGGGGGCCGGACGCGGTGCAAAGAGCGGGGCGGTTTTTTGGTTGCCCGAGCAGCGCCACGCCGCGAGGTGCAGAGCGAAGCGGAGCAGAGCGGCGCAGGCCAGCCACGCGCGCAGTTCGAGGCAGGGCGGAGGGATGCCGAGCCAGCGACGCCTCCTCCTCCTCCTCCTCCTTCCTCCTCCTCCTCTCCTTCCTCCTCCTCCTCCTCCCTCCTCTACCCCTCCTCCTCCTCCTCCTCCTCCTCCTCCTCCTCCTCCTCTTCCTCCTCCTCCTCCTCCTCCTCCTCCTCCTCGTCCTCCTCCTGCTCATTTTCCTCCTCCTCCTCTTACTCCTCCTCCTCCTCCATTCCTTCTCCTTGTGAAAAAATTGTTCCCTGTCGCACCCCGAGGCCAGTTATTTGGGCCCGCCAGGTGTCTCGCCTGAGAGTTCCTCACCTCTTTTGATTCTGAAGGTTAGAAATTGGCAACAGCTTCACGGATTGAGGGCGGGGGGGGGGGTCAAAATGTGGCTCTCGCCTTAGCGCCGCGCACATTCGTTGCAAACATGTAAGAGCTTCACGGATTGAAAGCGGGTAGTTTTCGAAATGTGGCTCTCGCCTTAGCGCCGCGCACATTCGTTTTAAACATTTGCAAGAAGTTCACGGGATTGAGGGCGGGTGGTTTTCCAAATGTGGCTCTCGCCTTAGCGCCGCGCACATTCTTTTTTGTACATGTGCAAAAGCTTCTCGGATTGAGGGCGGGTGGTTTTCGAAATGTGGCTCTCGCCTGAGCGCCGCGCACATTCGTTTTCAAATTTACAAGAATTATAATGATTGAAAGCAGGTCGGTTTCGAAATCTGGCTCTCGCCTGAGCGCCGCGCACACTCGCTCTGAAAAGGTGCAAGAATTTCACGGAGTCCCATCATCAACGTACCAGAAATGGTGTTTGGGAAGGATTCAGGATTACGCGGGTGCAACAGTTACGTTGGTTCGCTGCGTTGAACTCCTACGAATGGCTTTCTGGCACGATTCAGGATCGCCAAGACGCAACAGTCTGGTTGATCCGCGGTGTTGGAATCCCGAAAACAATGTTTTAGCAGTCTTCAGGGTCTTCAAACGGGTGTCTTCCAACGTGGCAGTTCCATCAATGGAAATGAAGCGTTGTCGGGGCCTATGAAGAGGGAGTTCGGCGAGAGGGTTTACTCCAACATCGTTGATGCCTCGTGAGCTTACGCTGGTTTTCCTCCTCCTCCCCCTCCTCCTCCTCCACCTCCTCCTCCCCCTCCTCCCTCCCTCCCTCCCCTCCCTCCCTCCCTCCCTCCCTCCCTCCCCCCCCTCCCTCCCTCCCCCCCCTCCTCCCCTCCTTCCTCCTCCTCATTCTCCTCCTCCCTCCTCTGGAGCCTCTGGAGCCTCTGACGAGTCTATCCCTCGGCGAAAGATCACCCGAGCAACGCACACTCAGAAGAGGACCTCCCCGCCGTCCTGTTCGTGCACCTCCTCATCATCAAGCACGAGGAGCGCGAAGCTGAAATCGATGAACACCACCGCTCATGCTGCGCAACACCACTGGTTGAGAGGAAGCACGCGACGGCCGACCCACGGACCAACGACAGCAAGAAATAACCACCAGCATCGGCTCGCACACGCCAGGATACTCATGCAACCTCCCAGCCGCCAGGGCAAGTGCACACCATACAACACAGCAACCGAAACTGTCTCTCAAAAGCCCGTGAATTCGTCTGAACCGTAGCTTGCCACCCCCGTAGCCACGCAACAAAACCACCACGGTGTAAGGAAGAAGACCGCGGTGAATTTGAACCACAGCCCAAGCCATGGAATTACAATAAACTTGAAAATGAATGCAGCCTCTAACCTCAGGCGGTGTGCTACTAGGACCTGAGGCCCCTAGCACTTCGACCACCTGAGAAGGCATTTTCCCACCATCTACGTGAATTCCACCAATGGGTGCGCTGCCCCGCTGATTCAGCAAGTGTTTGAAGCCGAAGGCGTCGATGGCCGCCGACTCGTACAGCTTGCCAGCGATGCCTTACCCTGAGTGTCATCACGTCCACGGCGGGAATCCCCGCGAGCTGCGTCAGAGCCTCCTCGTCCAACGGGGGCACATTGGTCTTGTACAGGCCCTTCGACTGAGACTTGAAGAAGTCTTTCATGGTCTCGGCATCGTCTCCTTGCCCCGCGCCGCCATCAGGGAGGCGGAGGCCCATGAAAGCGAGGGGGGGAGGAGGCCCCCCCGGGCAACGGCAAAATGCCGGATACTTTGTCGCGCGCCACTGCAAACGACGTGCCCGTCGCTTCCGCCCCGCCGCGCGCCCCGAGGAGACCCGACGCGAGCGCGGCGCCACTGAGCCAGCTGGCTACAGGGCTCTTACTCCGTTTGGACCCCGTTCGGGGTCCAAGCGGGGCTTGAGCCAAAATGGCTACGGACTGCTCCTCCCTCCTCCTCCCTTCTCCTCCTCCTCCTCCTCCTCCTCCTCCTCCTCCTCCTCCTCCTCCTCCTCCTCTTCCTCCTCCTCCTCCTCCTCCTCGACGCGGGCCCTTGTCCACGGGGGGCGGGGGGCGGGGCTACCGCTCGTTCGCGGCACCGGCGTGGCGCTCCACGCGGCGAGATGAAAAGCGCATCCCCCCGTCCCCCCTTCTTCGAGGGCGTCCAAAAGCGGGAGGCCGTCCAAGACCGGGGGTCGCAAATCATGGCCTGGGGTATATGTGCGCACGGGGGGGCGGGTTCAGAGGGCGTGCTGAAAGAAGAGGAGGGCTCCATGATGAAATCCAGGAATGTATCACGGCCCTGGCCATGAGATCCCCCCTTAGTCATCACCCCCTTCTTGGACGCCCCCAACTCCTCCTCCTCCTCCCGCAAGCCCCCCGAGCCTCTGTGAGCCTGAACGTGTAGTGCTCGTCCCCCCTGGGGACCAGGCCGAAGACGCTGTTCCGAAGCACGGCGTGGTAACCTCAGCGGTGTCTCCTCCACCTCATTTTGCCCCGTGCGGTACACCAACTCATTCCAGGGAGTACAGCCAACACCAGTATCAACCAGCAACACCAACAAGAGTGGAACCAAACCACCGACAGCACCGACACCGACTACCAAAAGAAACACCATCAGCCAACAGCAAGCGCCAGCGCACAACTAATAGCAATCATACCAAACCATGATGAAAGTTACTGCCTACACAAAGCCGACCCCGATTACCACAAAGACTGGCGCCAGGGACATCGATATTCACTGGCGACTGCATCCTCGCTGGCAAAGACAGCCGACACCAGCGACACAGGCCTACTCAAGAGACAATGACACTACCAGTAGAATCGGAATCTACCAGAGTTTTCACACGATGGCAACCAGCGGCCACAAGCCATGCCAGCAACGCCGAGCAACACCTGCACCGAACGACAACTGCTGCGTACATTGTACACGAAGCCGCGGCACATCAAAGTGCGTGAACAGTTCGCAGATAGCACTCCTAAGACTTGAGTGCTCCGTATCAGGGCCTGCGTGAGTCAATACGTTTCGCCAGCCAGCTAAAGCAACGGGCGCCGATGTCCTGGGAGGGGGATCGGGGGGCGTTGGGGGGGAGACGGGTGCAAGAGCCTCGCTAGGCGTGCCCCCCGTGCACATAGCAGCTCGGTCCGTGCGAGCTCTCCTCAAGACAGGCCCAGACACGCAGTGTACAGCCAGACCTCGAACAACTGCTCAGTATTCGCAGGCAGCACCCGTCAGCATCGATCGGATATCGAATCGGAATGTGCGTCGGATCAGGCCGCATCGGTACAGAGCCAGCGTCAAATCCGCTCGGCCGCGCCAGGATGCACAGCCGCGCCAAGCGAGCAGCGGATCACATCGGATCGCCGGAATGGCAAGATACAGCCGGATATCGCCGGCCAGAACCGATATCGAATCGGATCGATCGGATCGCAGTGGACCCCGCAGCACGGGTGAAGATTCGGGGGCTCTGCGACAGCGCTGTCGCAACACTGGGATGCTGCAAAGCCCCCAGCAGCCGCCACCCTC